CCCTCAAGGATGCGTCGCGCACAACAGGCCTCATGTCGGAGTCGGTGCAGCATAGGTTGCAGGCTCATCTTATGGCCACGCAGCCATAACTTGTGCAGGACCACAGAGTGTCAAATCTGCAATGAAGGAGTCGGTGTGTAAATAAGTGAATCCCGTCATCGAGCCCAAGCGGTCACTCTGTTGGAAGCGATGACGAGAGAGGTGGGCCCTGCTGTTCACAGTCATGTCTCAGAACGCCGAGAAATCAAGTCCACCTCCGCCTCCTCCCCAAGGACTGCAACTAGATGTGGTGCCTGGGTACTTTGCCATAGTCTGCTCGATGCCGATCTCATTCCTGCGGCACGCTGTGTCGGTTGCTACGGGAGCGTGAATGTCTGAAGGGTTCCGAACCTTCGCCTTGCTTCCCCGCACTGTTAGGCGAGACAAGGGGGGGGGGGCCCACTGTGTGTTGATACACCTCACTCACCAAGGAGTGATTCGTGCATTACTGTGCACCCACTTGGGCTGCGTGTTCAATGTATTTTTGATTTAAATAAAGTACAGGTCTGGGTGGTGACGGCAACACGGGCCCGCGACGTCAGCCGCCGAGTGTGCAGGCGGTCTCATCAGTGAGAGGTAAGTTATAAGCCCCCCCCCGCACGCAGTTGGCTTCATGTTACGACCGTGCCTACTTATGCTCACGCCAAATGTCAGCGCGTGTCCACGGAATGCGCTGCCTGCTCTACAGTGAGCGGAGTGTAGCTGTCAACTTCGGATGACATGCTGGGAAACAGGTCTTCCCAAGCACGTCTAGGGAGGAGTAAGCGGCAAACCTGGTGTGTGGTCGTTGGTGCCGCCAGTCTTGGGCAACCTACTGAAAACAACATGTGCGCCATGTGGCCGGCTTCCTGTCTGCCCACTGTGCGGGTTCTTACGCTCTCCTGGAGGCCGCTCAAATGGCAGTGTCGGGTGCTCCTACCCATAGGGCGCGTGTTTGGTTCACTCGCTTGCCATGCCTGTGTGGGCATCGGCTTGTCCAGGAAGCTTGGTGTTTTGTCAAGGTCGGTCTACGTAGTGGGTTTGGGTTTGCATATTCTCCCTCTTCGTGGGATGCGTGAGTGCGCACCTTTCCTTTAAGGTGCACAGGCTCCCCCTTCAAGGCATATGGCCACACTTCTACAGAGGGGCGTGGATCACTGTCCTGTGATCTAATGCGTTTCCAGCGCGGCGACGCTCCTGCATTGGTTTTCGGTTAATTGGGGGTTTGAGGCTGCCATAGGATGACTAGGTGTCGCGCCTATAAAGACGTGTGCGCAACCAGCGTGTACACGGGCACGTGATTGTGCATCTTGATCCGCCCATTGATAAAAAGAAAGGGATGGTGACCTGGGGTGTCACGGTTCATGCTTCAGGGAGTCTGTGTGTCTGGCTTGAGCTTTTGGGTTCAAACCAATTTGGTACAAGCGATAAGCTTACTGTTCGCGAGCGAATCGTGTTTTATCGCTTGCTTCCGAATTGCCTCAAGAAAAACGGCGGGCCGTTGTTCTTGGTTTGAAGCCAAAAGTTATTTTATACTTTGCATGGCGTCATGTGCAGCAAACAACTTGGCATGTTGATTGTATTCTTTACTGCATGTTGCGAAGTTTGCTTGAGCTCTTCATGTGTGCAGCACTGGCTCCATCGCAGTGCGCAAAATTTTGACCCACCCAGCCCACCCTGGGCATGCCTACAGCAGGGCCCGCTGACGCGGCTGCAACTCCCTGCTTCTGTTTCTCCGTGCCGTCACGGACTGCCACGTCGTTCGCCTTGCGTTCCTACGCTTTGGCGCCTCCTGGCGGAACCCACCCGCCCACCCTGGTTGTAGCAGGGCCCGCAAAGGCGGCCGCAACTCCCTGCACGCGGTCCTGTCGGACCCCATGCTCGAGTAGAGTCAGGTAGCGTCAGGCAGATCGTCCTCGCCCTCAAAAGGGGGTTTGAGGCTGCCATAGGATGACTAGGTGTCGCGCCTATAAAGACGTGTGCGCAACCAGCGTGTACACGGGCACGTGATTGTGCATCTTGATCCGCCCATTGATAAAAAGAAAGGGATGGTGACCTGGGGTGTCACGGTTCATGCTTCAGGGAGTCTGTGTGTCTGGCTTGAGCTTTTGGGTTCAAACCAATTTGGTACAAGCGATAAGAGGATAAACGATCTTCGGGCGTCGGGGAGGGGTGAACTCCGACCTATCGGCAGCATTGCTGTAGGGTTTGGAGACATCAGGTCCCAACGTTCCCCCTAGCCCAACCGCCGAACTCCCTTGACCCCTCGGAACCCCCAAGGAGTCTGAACCGCCCCTCGTTAAACCCGGAGCCCCAAGAACGACCCGACTTCCGTCCAAGCTTTCTTTGTTCAAACCCTGAGCCACTGCAGACTGACTCCCCACACCTCCAGCGTGCTGGAACTTTGGCAGCATCGGGAGCCCTGAGCCAGCTTGTCTCCTGGATGAGAGAGCTTGGGTTGGGGTTCTGACTTCCGCTAGCCCCACTTTGCCCATACACTGCACCCGGCTCTGACCTGGGATGGCCTGAATCCGGAGTGCGCTTAGCTACACGGGATCGGGCCCCAGGATCACTACGCCTCGAAGGGCTAGGGGTTCGGGTTCGAGGGAACTCAGGGGCGTGCGTTCTCTGGAACGGCGAAAACGCCCGAGCAACCGAACTGAATACATTACCTACAGTAAACCTTCCGCTTGGGTCCCTCGCGGTACCCAGTTCGGCGTGAGATCACCTTCCCCAGGCTGCCCGCCAGCCACACCCAAACCCTCCCCTACGGCGAAGCCCTGGCCACTCTGCTCACCCCGAGGACCAAGAAGACTGACACTACTTGGAGGACTCTGCTGCATCAACTGCTGCACATGGGTTTGTGGCACGGCGTGCCCTCGTTGCATATTTGCTGTCAGCGAACCCAACTGCTCAGGCGAAAATGTCGAGGATATAGGACCCACTACGGCTGGCTGCCGCCCGCCCCCACCATCTAACGAATTGCTCGCACTGGAATTCCTAGAGCTCTCCAGCTTGTCTAGCCTCTGACTCAGCGATGACGTAGCTTCTAGCACACGATCCAACACAGGCGCCATCTGTACCTGCATGAGCTGACTCATCAACGCGCCCAAGGCCTGAGTGTCAATTTGAAGGCCTTGGTGCTGCGTTGGGAAGTTCATTCCCAAGACCGGGCTTTCCGCAGCCATAGAGGCCACCCGAGCTTCCATATCGCTCTGCCCTTCATCTGCTACAGCTTGCTCTCCCGCAGCAGATGCTCCTGTTGGAGCGCCCAGCCTAGAGTAGTCGGGAATCAACTCTTCAGCTGACGACTGCTCGTTCTCCCTGAATTGGACAACACGCTCCGCAGCCACGCCAGCCATATCAACTGAAACTGGCATTGGGTCCCACCTCACCAGCTTCGGCTTGAGCCATTCCACTCCTCTGAAGATCATTATTCGTAACTTCGGTTGCCTCTTCCCCACCCTCCATCTGATCATAGTTCGGCTCCAAAGACTGAGCAGAGAGCTCACTCGAAGCTCTGCTGGCAGCCCCTGACTGAGCCCTTCGGAACTCCTGCTGCACTGCATCTGACCAGAACGGGTTTGGCTCGGCTTGCGCTCCAGATCCAGGAGATTGTTCCATTGTGTCAAATTTGGGCTCCTAACCCGTGTGAGCTGAGGGAGCTCCCACGGAGGCGCAGCTTACCGACTCTTTTACACAGAAGGCCACACAAAGAACTGCGTAGTCTCAGGGATTGGTGCTGAGCACAGGTGCTTTGGCTATACATCTCGATTTTAAAGATGCCTGGCACAGCCTCCTACACAAAAGAGCCTCGAGCGGAAGGCCGTAGGCATCGAGATCACACTTGTCAACACACTTATATATATATATATATATATATATGTATGTAATATTGAATTGTTAGACAGATTTGGGAAAGCGTGTGAGGTGGCAGCGCCCCAGAAAACAGAGGAGACGATGTTATGAATAATGAAAACGGTGGAGGGGGAGATTTCTGATAATGAAAATGGGGAGGAGAAACGAAGCAGGGGACGATGATGATGATGATGATGATGATGATGATGATGATGATGATGATGATGATGATGATGATGATGATGATGATGATGAAGTAAAGGACGAAGCCCCTCGGCCCGAGCGGTTTTTTCAGTGATTAGGATCTGTGATGAGCCATGCTTCGCGAGGCGGCCGGCGTAAACCCGACAGGGCACCGGCCGATGTGATGCTGCCGGTGCTGCTGGTGGCAGCAGTAATGGCCCTCGGTTTCCTTGGAGAAGCAATCCCTTTCGCAGGGCGAGTGTGGAAGCCGACCCGCAGCGCCACGACTCCAGTGACAGCAGCAGCTCTACAGATGACTACGAGCTGGCCTCCTTTGAGCCAGGCAGCCCAGATGGCATCAGTGAGATCTCCGAGTCTGACCTTACCCTTCTTGGGGAGCAGCTGGGGTTGGATGTCCTTCATCCACACGATAGCAGGCATTCCAGGGCAGGGCGCATGGGTTGGTTCCAGAGAAACGTGGCGCCTTGCGCTTGGGTTGAGTTGCAGGAGAAAGCCGGGCACTACCTCGCAAATGAGCGGTGTGCACACTGCGATGATTGGTGCAATGCACATGCCCGGGGCCACCGAGCAGCGGGACAGCGCCGAGGCTCATTGTGCTCGGCGTCCAGCTGAGCTAAGCGGTCAACGTGACCACTGGAGAGCAAGGCTCCTACGAGCCAAGTCCTTCCAGCGCCCGGGTCTGCCACCCCTAAGCAAAAGATTTGCCAAACTAGGTCATGGTCTACGGCTTCCGGACTTGGGACCGGAACAAACCCTCGCGGTGGCATTAACAGGATCTTTAGGGTGACTATCAGAACCAGGGTTCTCAACCTTAGGGCAGGTCGGGATGGCAGGTCGGTGGAAGCACTGAAACCAGTCTCCTTCAGAACACTGGGCTCTGCAAAGGCGTGCCAGCTGATGATGCCAGACGGCTGCACAGCATGCACGAGGTGGGGAGCCCGCCCAGTACACAAAGCATTCAATAGGGCATGCAAGAGAGCAAATCAGGCCATCAATGCTGGCACGTGGTACCGAGGACGATGGCATGGCAGACAGACCCTCGACTCCCTCAGAAACAGCACCATAGACCCGTCTGCCAGGAGAGCCCGAGCCACTCGGCCAGCGCGAAGCAGGCCGGCTCCCAACTTCTCCATTTTCGTTTGGAACACGGAGGGCTTTCTTCAGGGATGCTTCAGGAATTCATGGCCTGGTGTGAAACGCAGACACAGCATGACATGATACTCTTGATTGAGACACATTGGAGGGCTACTTCTGATTATAGGAGTGGTTGTTGGCAATGCATACACACATCGGGCTACACCGAGCAGGATCAGCCGGACCGATATGCAGGCATACTCTGCTTGGTCTCAGGAAAGTCCTTTGCCATGCCAAGCGTCCGCGAACTTGTGCCGGGCAGAGTGCTACAGGTACAGGCTCAGCATCGCAAAAGCCAGCGAACGGTCACCTTGCTAGGCGTGTACCAGCATGTCCACAGGCCACACCAGGAGCCCAGAAAAACCGAGAGCTTAGAGGCTATGTGTGGCATCAACTTCAACAAGCCATCAATGCCACGCCTGCGCGCCACATGCTGCTCATTGCAGGAGATTTCAACTCCACCCTAAAGCCAGATCATCCTTATGTAGGACCAGCCGCCCCGCCCCAAGACTCCCATAATAACTTCGACTCCACCTTTCAGGCTTTGCTGCGAGACCACCGCCTCACTGCGGCCAACGCCTGGCATGCAAGGCCCTCCTACACTTATGTAGCTCCGGGTACCCATAGCCAAATAGACTACTTGCTAGTCCGTCTCCAGGATGCCGGCCGGGGAGCGCGGTTCTCCTCGCCAGTGTTGGACTTTCCAGTGGGAGCGCACAGAAGCACAAACCATCTGCCATTGCAGGCTCCTGTCCTATGCCCACCTGCAGCCAAAGGCCCCCTCGGCTGCTGTGGCTTGCGACGCGGCGGCGCTGCAAGTAGCTGTTGTAGGATGCACTGCCCAGGCCAAAGCCCTGGCCGAATCTGTAAAAACCGCCTGCGACAGCAGCAGTGCTGCCCTGACTTGAGCGCTGAGCACGATGCAGTCAATCAAATCCTGCTGGAAGAAACCGGCAAATTCTTCCCTCCGGCAGGCTACTCTGATCGCCGAGTCAGCGCGCATCCCGAGTTCCGAGCCTCAGCCAGAGCCACGTGGGCACTGCGCCGACGCTTCAAGCAGTCGGGACTACTGTTAGTTCGCAATGTGTTTGATCGTCTTAAGCATTACGCAGCATTTCTTCGAGCCTCCAAGGCCTTGCGCCGCCAAAGCTTTGCTCTAAAGAAGCAGTTTCTTCAGGACCAAATTAGTGTAGCAGAACAAGCTGCTAAACAAGGAGATCAAAGGGCATTGTTCTTGGTAGCAAGGAAATTGGCGCCTCGCAGCCACCGAGGCACGATACGCCTCCAAAACTCAGAAGGTAAAGCACTCAGCAGCCAGGCTGCCATGCAAGCCATCGTGGCCTACAGCAATGCCACCTTTGCAGCTAGCCCAGACACCATGCCTATACTGCCACTTCAAGGCACAATGGATTTAGGCAGTCACACTTTCGCGCAGGCCTTGAGTCGCCTCAATGTTCGCAAAGCTGTGCCATCGCACTGTGCTCCAGCAGCCGCCTGGAGGCTTTGTTCGGCTTGCATTAGTGAACGTCTTGGGCCACTCTTGCAGAGGCACTTCGCTGCGGACTCGCAGTCGCGCTTGGTCGGTGACTTGAGAGACGCAAATGTTGTTTGGCTGGAAAAGCCCAACAAACCTCCAACTACTGTGGGGGCTTTACGGCCGATAGGCCTCATGCCATCATGTGCCAAGGCCATCGCAGCTGCGCTCGCTCAGCAGATCCAGGCTCACATCCAGCCGATCCTTGATCACATGCCTCAGTATGCCTACTGTTCCGGAAGAGGTTGTAGCGACGCCATTTTGCGCGTCCACCAACATTTTGAGCAGGTCGAAGGGCTGCAGCAAAGCCAGGCTAGCAATCGATTCCGAATGAAGTCGGGCGCCAAGCAACTCCGGTGCTACGGAGGCATGTGCCTCTCCTTGGATCTCTCCAAGGCTTTTGATTCAGTTTGCAGAGACAAGCTCACTCAGTCATTGCTCGATGGTATCTCCAATGATGTCATCAGTGCTGTCCAACAGCTGCACAGGTCCGCAAAGTATGTGTTCCGGCTTGACCGAGAGACAGGCCACACCCTTACCACGTGTGGTATCAAGCAGGGGTGCCGTGCGGCACCCGCGCTTTGGACCTGCTTGACCTTGTCCATCATGGAGTCCTTAGTCCACCGCCGCAGCATCGAGTGGCTGCACAGGACCCTCACCGCCTTTGCCGACGATTTTTGCGGCTGCTGGGCAATCACGTCAGCCTGTGAGCTCCTCAAAGCAGTCAAAGACCTTGAATTGATCCTGGACATCCTAGCATCCTTTCGGCTGCAAGTCAACTTTCAAAAGACTGCTCTACTCATTAGTGTCAAAGGCAAAGATGCCAAGGCGACCCTAAACACCCTCCTTGTTCACAAGGCCGGAGTACCCCACCTCAAGGTTCAGGTTCAGGGCAAAGAGCAGCTGTTGAAGATTTGCGAGTCCCATACCTACCTTGGTACCAAATTGGCGTACCGCAATCGTCGTGATCTCAACGTGGCTCACAGAATTTCGGCTGCCCAAACCAGATACCAGCAGATCCGTAAGGTTCTCAATGGTAGGAACCCCCTTTCGACTAAATACCGCCTGAGACTTTGGGCCGCTTGTGTCAACAGCTCGCTTCTCTACTCGCTCGAGGCAGTAGGCTGCTCACTCAAAGGCCTTCGCAAGCTCTATACGCTAGCCACCCGCCATATCAGAGCCATACTTAAACTGCCTGCCCATCTCTCACGCGTCACCGACGTGACCATATGGGACACTGCAGGCCTCCAGCCTCCGGAGCAGCACATCCTCCAGCGCATGCAGAAGTTCAGCGACAGCCGTGACCCGAGCTGCAGCCCGCACGGGCCAGACCTTGTCAACAATAGCTCGGTGGTGCAGCAGATAGGAGCTTTACTCAGCCAGCACCAGGTCCATCTCTTGCGTCTTGCGGAGGAACGAGCAACGACCCAGGCCGATGGCTCGGATCAGGAGTTTGCTGTAGGGGTTCCATGCCAGCACTGTGGGTTAGAGTTACCCACGCAACATGCACTTCGCATCCACATAGGCCTGAAGCACAAGACTCAGCAGAGAGACGATCAGCCAAAGATGGTCACCTTCTCAGCTCAGCAACATGCTGTAGACGGCATGCCCACTTGCAGGTTATGTCAAAGAAGCTTCACCAAATGGAGGCAGCTAAAGCTGCACATCGAGCGCGGCTCCTGCCCCCGCCTCGGAGGCTCCAGTTTTCTTCTCAGCCCTCCGGCTCCGGACAACCACCTTCTGCCTGGTAGGCAGCAACCCACCGCATCGACTGCGCAGCGGCAGGAGACACCTGACGCCAGCAGTGAAGCCGTTGTCGAAAATTCAGCGTACCTGCCTCTTGTTCACCAGCCTGACTTTCGTAGCCGAATCCACAACTGGGAGAAGCTGCTCGTTTGCCGTGAAACTAAGGCTCAGTTGTTGTGTAGGTGCGTCCTCTGTGGCATGTGGGTTGCGGACCCGAAACACATGAAACAGCACTACAACAAAACCCATGACAACTCCTACCCAGGACTCAAGGAGGCTGCCACCCCTTTGCCTCTCTTTCAAACGGCAGTTCACGCGCAATCGTAGCTGCAAGTACTGTGGAACCACCGTGGGTGCCGCTTCCAGGCACACTGTGCAATGTACCGTCTTGCATCAGCTTTGTCTGGCTAGTGTGTTTTGCCAAAGAGAGTTGCGTCAGCAGGATGTCCGGAGCCCTGGAGTCGGAGATCTTTGCTCATTGCATGCCCTCGGGGCAGTTGGGAGCCAAGCCGGCGGTGAGTACCGAGCAGCCGCAGAAGCGACCGAGACCGGAGCACACTGGTCGCTCTCAGGGTCGCAGGCGTCCGTTCGGGCCACAGGGAGGGTCGAACACGTACCAGGCCCAAGCTCCCATGGATCCCACACTTCGCTTGATGAGCAAACTCATTCTCAAGCACGAGGCGACCTTACCAGGCGTACGCTTCAGACAAGACGAGCACAGCTTGCTGCCCAACCTCATGCAGGTGTCAAAAGAGTGGCACGACAAGAGGGCAGCGGGAGACATGTCCCTGACCTCACCTCTCAAGACAGTTCTCATGGGCTGTCTCTTGCAAGAGTTGCTAGCGCGCCTGCAAAGGGTAGCCTCCACAGAGCAAGGGCAAGACTCACTCCGGAAGGCCAAGTGGATCAACGAAAGCGGCTCATGGAACTATTTAAAGTGGTCCCAGAGGGAGCGCCGCCTCATCCTCGACGAGAACAGGGAGCCACTGAGCCACGCGGAGGCCACCAGAACACTGAGCACCCTCCACACTCAGATGTCAGGCGCCATAATCCAGCACTTTCAATCGACTCAGCCGCTGTGGCGACTGTCAGAGCAGGGGCACCAACAGGCCACATTCGAGTTGGAGATTGCCTTGAGGGGCGCTGCGGCAGAGGAGACCTGGACCCTCTTCCGCTCTCTATGCGGATCGGCCGTAACGAACCTTGCCGGGTTCTCCATGAAGGTGGACGACCAGCCGAGGCAGCACTTGGCCAAGGAACTGGCCAACCTGACGTATGTGGGAGGCCTGCGCTGAATGCGCCGCCTGCTGTGGCTGTGTGTGCGGTTGATAACCTTGCTCTTGCCACCGCAAGTCTGCACGGTTCCCATTCACTTTATAACAATAGTCCCCGTGTTTCCATTGACCCTAGCCACTTCCCAACTCTTCACAACGCTGGCAACCATTGCTACATGAATGCCACTCTCTACTGCCTGTGCGCGCTTGAGCAGTCTGCCGGTATTTGCAGACTCCCACCAACCATGAAGCCGACGCCTGGCAGGTCTCTGAGCGCCTACAGGGCGTTGGGGTTCTGCCTCCTGGGGTGGAGGCAGCCGCATGCTCAGCATGATGCAGCGGAGTTCGTTGATTTTCTGCTCCCCAAACTGCTGCGAGGGCAGCACTGTGCAAGCTGGCAAGCCCGCCGGCTTGAACCAGGTGGGTTGCGCGTCACCGATGCTGCTGCGCTGAACCAGTGCCTCTCCCTCAGTAGCCAAACAATCAGCGCGCCAGATGTACAGCAACTTATCCTTAGGTGGCACCATCAATCGGCGCTTCATGCTCTTGAACAGCAGGCCCCATGGCTCGTCATACAGCTCCCCCGAACATCGGCAAATGGGCGATTCATCGCAAAGCGACAGGACCCGCTTCTGCTGCCGTCTGAGCTTCGACTTCCAGTCTTTCAACAAGCCGGAACCCTTGCCACTGCTTGGCATCGATACCGTGTCATTGCATTGATCGTTCACCACGGCACTGAGCTCAACTCAGGCCATTACTCTGCGTTGATGCCTGATGGGGAGGGCTACAATAAGCTAGATGATGATCGAGCCATCGCAAAAGCCACCGATGAAGACTTAGATCACGCTTCGTGCAATGTGTACTTGATGCTACTTGTCCTGCACAGTGACCCCGACATTCAGTCATCCATTGAACCTCAAGATATCACCACGAGCCCGAGCCATGTCGGACGACCGCAGCCTGCAACTCTTGATGCATCGTCGTGAGTACTTGCACTACATTGGCAGAATCAATAAGATCCGACATCAGAAGGTCCGTGATTTGGATACACTGGACGAGTAGCTGCTTTGAGCTCATAGCTCATGGCCAGGCGCTTAGGCGCGCTCCTCTGCCTCTAAGGGCATTAGTGTCATTGCTGCCTCGAGCAGCCGATATCGGCAATAACCCGATATTGAAGGCGCTCGCTAGTAGGGACTCGGACCTCTCTACTGCGTTGGAAGAAAAAGAAGTAAAGGACGAAACCAGAGAGGGGGACAAAACGATGATGACGGACAAGGTGGCGTTAATGATGAAAACGAAGCAAAGGACAAGATAAAAGAGTGAATGAGGGGGCACAGGTGATATGATACAATCCCCAGAACATACCCTGATACACACCCCAGCCCCAGCCCCAGCCCCCCCACCCCCCACCCCACACACAAATACCCGGGAGCCACAACGCTGGCCCTGATTTCGGGAAGCGAGAGACAAGATGATTGCGTGCTGATAACTTGCAAAAGCATGCTACAACGTGGTGTGGACGTCGTGTTTTTTTTCGCGTGCTTTGGCCATGTTGAGCAAACTTGTAAGCATGGAAGTGTCAAAAGGTTCCCAATTGTTTGCCATTTTTTCGTCAAGTGATCAGTTCCAGATATACTGAACCCTCTCCGTGTTTGGCATGTTGCACATGTTGGGCCGCAGCAGTTTTGCCGACTCGTTTGTTGGAAAAACGTTGTGACCGTGCTTGGGTGCTTGCCCATCCGATGTGCCAGGTATTGGCTTCTTGGTCGCTTTGACTGCCACAGTGGCAGTTGCACTAAGTGTGCCACCCAACTTTTGAAAGCTGGCGACCCTGTGCCGAGCAATGTTCGTAAAGTGTGGGGAAGTTGGAGGTGGCCCACAAGCTACGGATGATGTTGCCCTTCTTCAAAGGAGCGGGATCTGGATGGGGTTTGGCAGGCAGCCTGAGATTATTGCATTGGGCGGCACACTGCCTCCATCCAATCATGAATTTCGCCGCCCGCAACGTCGTGAACCAGTTGTCCTGTATACATTTTGTATGTGTATATGTACAATACGCTTAATTGCTTGTGCAGGACTGCTGCTTCATACGTGCAGTAGGTTGAAACCCGGTGATTAGACATGAATAGGATTGCCGGTCCCGCTTGATTTGCAGTTTTGCAGTATTCCTTTTTGTTCTTGCACGAATGAATGTTTGCCATGCAGGACAGGCGCACCGACTTTGAAGGAACTTTCGGCGGAAGAATTATTGGCAGAAGATGAAGATGCAGAGGACTGGATTGCTGTGGCTGGCCATGTGTGGTGATAGCCTGGCTCAAAATTCAAGAGTTTATGAGCGCATCTGCGGTGACTTGTGGACAGCGAGCTGACAGAGATACTGTCGGTCATGGATCTCACCATGTAACGTGCAAGACGCCTACATTGGTCGCCAGAAGCCAAAAACACCACTGCACAGCTGAAGCCACTCGCTCGCTTTTGCCAGCTACATCCCCACCCTATATTCACAGTTTGTCAATGCTTGCTGGGAACACACTTCTGCAATCTTCTGCATGTGCAGGACCTCTTTGAACCGATGGAGCCCATGGAGTCAAGAAAAGACGAGCCTACGCTCGCAAGCCAGGCTGTTGGACTAAGCAGAGCTCTCAGCACGGGAAGTTGTTGACGACAATAGTCTAAACAAAAATGGCTTGAATGTGCACACTTCCTCGGCTCTCTACTCCCTTCACAAAAATCTGGAGCTTTGCCAAGGTCCATGTGTGGTTGCTGGATCCTGTCCTGAAGCTTGAGGAACACGTGACGGGAAAACCCCTGCAGTAGAGACGCCGTGGTCTTAGTAGATGGCCCCCAAAGTCGGGGCGTAGGTTGGTGTTTCACGCTAGTATCGGCATATAGCGGCATTGTTTCACACATCGTTCGCACCTGTTGGTGACCAGTGGGGAGCAGTGTCGTTTCAGATCGACAAAGCGTCTGCTAAAGTCCTTCTCAGGTTCATTTTGGCTCGCATGTGCTTGTGCAGCGTCCCGCGCAACATTCTCGTGATTTGTGATTGCTGAGCCACGAACATAGACTACTTGATAGGAGCAGTTTTCCTGCAATTGTTGTTGTAGTCATGGGATGCTGCCAGCCAGGACCCCAATGTCTGCCCGAGCGAGTTGAGCATTTTGTCACAGTTGTATCCGCAAGGTCTGGACCCAACACAAGCGATCCATCCAAGCCGTTGGCCTGGCAGAGCTCTTTTAGAACGTTACCCTTTGTTGTCATCATTCTGCCCAGGCCTGTCTTCCATAACAAGCATATGAGCGATGACGAACGGGAAGCGAGGAGGAAGGCAGAGCCTTGCTGTACGGGGACGTAGTAGGGGGGGTTCGAAGACGGGGATGCAGAACATCTGTCAGGCAGCAGCGCAAGCCGCAGAGCAGCGCGCGCAAGACCAGCCACGTAGACGCACTTGGACAGTGCACTTGCGCTCGACGCTTGTGCTCCTTTCCAAGCGTCTCTGTTCACTCGCTTCCTCCGCTTCCTCCGCTTCCTCTGCTTCCTTCCCTTCCTTCGCTTTGCTTCGCTTTTGCACCGTTGACGTCCAGGGCAACTCGAGGAGGTGTCAGTGGGAAGCCGGTGAAGGCAACATGAGAATGGACCATGCCCCTAGCCCAGACCTTCTGAGATGTTCAGCTCGGTTGCGAGGCCAGTGCTTCTGAAATTAAAAATGAGCCCGGAGCCCAGACTGCCGCCACAACAGACCCATGCTTCGAAGCTTGGCCTTTGGTCAATCTTAGGGGCATGATGAGACCTGGCGACTTCAACTAGCACAGAGTGCACCGTCTGTACAGAGCACTTAGGGTCTCGCTATGTCTTGCAGCTCAGCTCCGATAGCTGGCTTGCTGCACAGCTTTGTCCCATGGGTGCAAAGCCTTGTGCATCCGCATGGAGCATTGAAGATGCTTCTTGAGTAGAGAACGGTCCGAATGGATCCGAATGGTACCTTAATTTGATGTTTTGGCTTGGATATGGGCGCTCTGTAGCCTTGGGCGACTACCCAGTGCTGCAACGCTTTCATTGCGCAAAAGACGTGTGCTGATCGTCAAAACAAGATGTCTGAGAACCTTGCGCTGGACGTTTGTTTTTGTTGGATTGCATAGATGTCCAAGGAGAGAAATCCGTGTTGGATGGGTTCTTTTGGTTGTGCAGTAGGAAGGGACCGGCCATGCTCCTCCTGCAGCATCCATGGAGCCCGGCTGGAAGATCAGGCATCTCCGCCCCCCCAGCACCGTTCCATGACGAGTTCCTGCCAAAGCTTGGCCATGCACGTAGATCGACCTGTTCTCAATGTATTGCAATCTTTAGTCCGCATACCTGTGCTCTTTTTGAGACTCTTGTGAACAGGGCAAGCCCGGCTGCAAACAAGAGCCTGGTTCCGCTATCGCGAGATGAGGCAAGGTTAGACCCGTCCCGGCCTTTGCCATGTTTTGGAATGCTTGTCTTTGTGTGATGGATATGTGAGTGGATTTTGCGTCAAGCTGGCGACAGCTTCTTAGGCTGATGGGGGCCACAATTCGCAAGATCTTCGGATCACAGTGGTACTACGGACAGGCCAGATTTAAGATGAGCTTCACCTGTGAGTGCCCGACGGAGCGTACCTTCTACTTTGCAAGGTAATCGCCATAGACACTGATGTCATGTGCTCAGTTGGACAGTCACGTCGAGCCGAACAGTCAAAGTTGTGTAGACCTGGATCGCCCAGCAATCGACGGCATTGGCCCCTTTTTTGAGGTGGCATCGGGTGAGAGGGCTTATCATGTGGCGTACGAGGCCACGACGGCAAAAATGCAACTCTTACCTCGAGACCCCATGCTCAGCCCCGGTGCCCTGAAGCCGAGCAGGATGGAGATGAAGAGCACCTGAGCGCAGCCGAAGTAAAACACTTCTTGGCCTGCTGCATGGTGTGCCTCCATTGCATTCATGTGAGCGCGTGGTTCTCCAATTCTCGTCCTGAGGCAGCACCCGCGCGCTCTGCCCGGCCTTCCGAGGCTGGGCGCTCTGCGCGCCCTTCAGAGGCGGCAGGCAGGCTTCCCAATCGGGGTGGATCTGGTTGGTGTACACTTGATGAAGACGCATCTCTAGCCTGTTCGAGAAAGTTCTGGGTGCCTGGAAGGCACACCTCGGCCCAGTTTGCCGCTTCCGCCTGCGCCTTTGGTGCGCCCATCTTTGGTGCGCCCATCACGAGGTGCTAACCCTGATAAGTTCTGATGCTTTGCAGCGTTGGGTGTGGGAGA